ATATACTGGAAGCAAGCCACATCCCTAGGGAAACTCCCTTTCAATGGACTGCCTGCTCAAAACATATACATCTGATCCCATCATGGGAATAACCCATATCACAATTGCTTAAACCACACAGAATTATGGTCTAGCCAAGTTGATAAACAGCTCCAACTATCACAGCATTCATTTGTTCAAATATCTCAATGGATATTCCATCAGTTCTTGGGCCTTGTTTCTCACCAATTCTTTCAGTGCAGCTTGGACTTCTTCCTTCAATATCATCAGTTCTCGATCATATGCCACCTTCTGAAATGTTGGAAAGCCACTAGCTTTGATACTTTCTCCTCTCTCTTCTAACTAAAAGAAGTTGATTTTAAAGAAACCAAAAAACTCACAATTGATCATTAAGAGCTATTACCATTTGGGTAAAGGATGGCTAGATAAACACATGCCAATGACATGTGCTTATGAAATGACTGAATGTCAACCAATTCTTTCTTGTACAGTGACTCTGTGTATTCCCTCCATTTTCTTTTGATGCTTCCTACATCATTAAATATTTTGCTCATAGAATCTTTCACTATTGCAACTCAAGGCTTGAATCTTTTCCTCAGTTCTTTCAGTTTAAGAAATGCTGAGTGTGTTCTTCCCTTTTGATTTTCTAAGTCCAAGTCTTTGCACATTTCCTTATAATACTTTACTTTGTATTCTCAAGCTGCTCTTTGAAATCTTCTGATCAGCTCTTTTATTCCATCATTTCTTCCACTCACTTTAGCTATTTTCTATTCAAGAGCAAGTTTCAAGGCCTCTTCTGATATCCATTTTTGCCTTTTATTCCTTTCCTATCTTTTTAATGATCTTTTGCTTTCTTCATTTATGATGTTCTTGTTGTCATCCCATAATCATCTTGTCTTCGGTCACTTGGTTTCAATGCATCAAATCTATTCTTCGGACAGTCTCTAAATCAGGTGGGACATAATCAAGGTCATATTTTGGCCTCATCAACTTGTTTTCATTTTCTTCAGCTTCAACTTGAACTGGCATATGAGCAACTGATGGTGTGTTCCACAGTCAGCTCCTCGCCTTGTTCTGACTGATGATACTGAGCTTCTTCATTGTCTCTTTCCATAGATGTAGTCAATTTGATTCCTATGTATTCCATCTGGTAAGGTCCAGGTGTAGAGCCACCATTTATGTTGTTGAAAATAGGTATTTGCAATACAACATACATCTTTATGATATAATAAATATATCCTATTATTTGGCAAAAGGCTGCTTCCACCAAACTATCTTACATTCACAACCATGCTGCAATATAAAGGAACAAAATAAACAAACAAAAAAGCAAACCTACTACCACTCAGTTGATTCCAACTCATAGTGACCATATAGAATAGAGCAGAACTGCCCCATAGGGTTTGCAAGTCTATAATTCTTTACAGAAACAGACTGAACATCTTTCTCCTGCAGAGCAGCTTGTGGGTTCATACCATGCATATTTTTGTTAGCAGCCGAATACTTGAAACACTGCACCTCCTTAGAAACCAACTACTAATACACTAATAAAAGTGAATTTTAAAATAGTTCACTGAAGGAAGCCAGACATATTAAAAAAAGAATCGTAATATATAATTCCAACTGTAATATTAAAAAAAAAAAAATAGACATGTAATGGCAGAAATCCTAATAGTGGTTGCTTCTCTTGCAAGAAGAAGGTACTGACTGGAAATACACACTGAGGAAACTTGTGGAATGATGGGTAAGTTCTACACCTTGATTTTACGTGTCAAAACTTGAAATGTATACTAAGATCTACGCATGTTACTGAAGTAAAGTATATCTCTAAAATAGGTTAGATATTCTTGATGCATCAAAGATACAGGGAAGTGAGGTAAGGTACAGTAAGATTAAAAATTAAAAAGTTTGGTGAATGTTTTTAAATTAAGAAGACAGCTGATTAGTCATAAGCAAAATTGTACTATTTATCATGATACAATGTTTACAATTTCAGATAATAATAAAGAGTAAAGAAGGGGAAATTACAGAAATTAGGATAATATTACTTAATCACTTATTCAAGTTATATTAAAACTCAAACACTTGTATAACTTATACCATTCAGGACAGAAGAGTAGATAGATAGTTACTCAAGAGACTCAAGAGTTAACTGTAAAAAGAGAAGCAATTTATTTCTCAGTAATAGGATCAGGTACATAAATCCTGACAATTCAGTATTAGTAGATGGCAGTCCTAGTATCCCTATTCTTGCTGGTATCAGCAAGATACTAATGGATTGTAATTTACAAGATGAAATCATTAAGTGGAAAGCAAGAAAATTAAGAATTTACACAGCAAAAATGCCAAGATCTAATTTAATCATCATTTAATATTGTATCTGGGTAAACAGAAAGAAATGCTAATCTAAGTGTATACAGTACCTATTAGAAAGAATACACACAAAAGCAATTAAAATTTTTAGTATAATATTTATAAAGTAAATACTGTAGGTTTGAAAATAAAACTTTATTCAAAAGAACTTGAAATTTAGAGTAAAATGGTACACAATTCTTATTTGATATCAGTTTCTAATGTCAAAACTATTTTTCCAAAGTGTTATGGATTGAACTGTGTACCCAAAAAACATGTGTGTTGTCAATACTAATTCTACATCTGAGGTTATAATCCCATTTAGAAAGTGATATCTTTGTTATGCTAATGACGCAGGATTATTGTGCCCTGTGTCATAAGTCAATTTTTTTCAAGATATAAAAGAAGTTTAAGCAAGCAGAAATGGTGTAACACAAATGTCAAACCACATGGAGGAATCAGGAAGCAGAGGCTAAAGAGACAAACACCATCCCCTAGAGCCAAGAGAGACAGCGAAAGCCTTGCCGTAGAGCTGGCACCCTGAATTTAGACTCTAGCCTCCTACCAAAACCAAACCTACTGCCATCAAGTTTATTCTATAACTGCCCTACAGGGTTTCCATGGATGTAAATCTTTATGGAAGCAGACTGCTTCATCTTTTTCCTATAGAGCAGCTGGTGGATTCGAACTGCTGACCTTTAGGCTAACAGCTGAATGCCTTAACCATTACGCCACCAGACCTCCTTTCTAGCTTCCTAAATTGTGAGAAAATAAATTTCTGTCCATTAAATACATCCACTTGTGGGATTTCTGTCACAGCAGCACTAGATAACTAAGACACCATGGTTAAGCACATTTCTTAACCTAACCCCCTAAACCTTTTCTTCCTTTTTTTTAGCTCTAAAACCTAGGTCAAATTTATAAAGTGAAAGAAAATCTCTGGGGGAGATTCAATACTGAATATGTTTTGGTAAGGTAAATTTAGAGTAACATATTATTTAATTCACATAAAACCTCTAATTTATACTCCTCATAAAAGATTACTTGATTTTAAACAGCAGTGTAAGATTACCTCTTATTTTTAAAAAAGTAAAACCAATATACCTAGAACATCTCCTTAACCTATTATTCTATATTACCCAAAATGAATTAAAGACTACATAGAAATGGTAAGATCTCCACTATCAAAATACTTGCAAAAAACAAGATAGTTTTATTTGTAACATAGAAACTTGATGGGAAAGTCAAGAGACAAGCTACATAATACCTAAGTAGCTAGAAGTGAGGAAAAAAAGGAGTTCTTAACTTGTCTAGAAAACTTTTAACAAGTTAGAATTGTAGGGCTAAATCCTTAACAAAATAAAAATAGGTAATTTCTCAAAAATATTCCAAAGATTATAAAATGCAAAATACTGTAAATGTTGATTGTAAGGAATACTTACGACTACTTCCAAGTTCTTCAAACAGGAACTTCACTTTTTCCCATTCAGTAGAATTTTTGTTATTGGGAACACTCAATGGAACAAAAGCACTAAAATGAAGAAAGTAATTTTGTTTAATGGCTCTAAAGGTTAGATAAACGAAAATGGTCTGAAACTCAATTTTTGTTGTTGTTGTCACTCTTTAAAATAAAGACCAACTTTCCCCAAAAAGAATCAGTAACTGAAATATTTAATATATCACAAATTTGTTTAATAGTTTTATTAGTGCATTCAGGAAAATTAGTTTCCTTTGTATCTTTTTTAACAATATACTTTATTTTCAGTGCATTTTAGATTTATAGAAAAATTGTGAAGAAAACAAAGTATTTCCATACTTCCTCTTCCATTTGAACAGTTCCTCCTATTATTAACATCTTGTGTTAGTGTGGTACGTCTGTTACAACTAATTAAGCAATACTGATATACTATTAGTAACCAAAGTCCATGATTTACAGAAGGGTTCACTTTTTGTTTTGTATAGCTCTATGGGTTTAGACAAATGCATAATGCTAAGTATCTACTATTTTATTATCATGCAGAATAATTTCACTGCTGTTAAAATGCCTTAAAGTGCTTCATCTAAATTCATTTTCTCTCTCCCCCTAAACCGGTGGCAATCGCTCGTCTTTTATTGTGTTTATAGTTTGCCTTTTCTAGAATGTCATATAGTTGGAATTATAACTCATTCAAACTCACTGCCATTGAGTCAAATCTGACCCATAATAATGACCCCTCCTTGGGTTTCCAAGGCCATATCACTACAGAAGTAGATTGTCCAACTTTCCTTCCAAGGTGTTGTTGTTATGTGCTGTCGAGTCGGACCCGACTCATAGACAGCGACCCCTCCTTGGGTTGCCAAGGCAGTATCACTACGGAAGTAGATTGTCCCATCTTCCTTCCGAGGAATGGCTGGTGGGTTTGAACCACCAGCCTTCTGGTTAGCTGTTGAGTGCCTCAAGGCACTAGGCTACCAGAGCTCCTTTCCAAGGAGTAGTAGAAGTCAAATGCTGGTTAGTAGTCAAATGCTTTAGGCATTATAATAATATACTACTTCTTCAGACTGCCTTTTTTCACATACATATTTAAGGTTCCTCCATGTCTTCATAGCTTAACATCTCATTTCTTTTTATTCCTGAAGAACATTCCATTGCTTCACTGTACTGCAGTCTATCTATCTCTTGTAGAATATTATGATTGTTCCCAAATTTTTGACAAAAATGAATAAAGTGCTGAAAACATTTCTGTCCAGGCTTCATGTGGGTAAATGAATTGCTAGATCATATGGTAAGCCTATGTTGTTGTTGTTATGTGCCGTCGAGTCGGACCCAATTTATAGTGACCCCTCCTTTGATTTCTGAGGTGGTATCACTACAGAAGTAGATTGCCCAACCTTCCTTCGGAGCCTGTTTAGTCTTGTAAAACTGCTCATCTTCCAAAATAGCTATACCATTTTTCATTCCCATCAGTAATAAATGAGAAGTCCTGTTTCTCAACATTCTTGTCAGCATTTGATGTTGTCAATGCTTTAGATTTTAGTTATTTTTATAGGAATGTACAAGTATTTAATTGTTGTTTTAGTTTGCAATCCCTGAACGACATATGATGTTGAGCATCTTCCCATATGCTTACCTGCCATCTCTATAACACTTTTGGTGAAGAGTCCATTCAGATCTTTCACCCATTTTTAAACTGGATTGTTTTTATTCTTATTGTTGAGTTTTACAGTTCTCTACATATTTTAGATACAAATCCTTTATCAGATAGGTGTTTTACAAATATTTTCTTCCATTCTGTGGCTTCTTTTTTCATTTTCTTAATAGTAGCTTTCACACGGAAGAAGTTTTTAATTTAAATGAAGTTCAATTTATTAACTTATCTCAGATTTGGTGTTTTATCTAAAAACTCATTATCAAAGTCCAAGATCACCTAGAGTTTTTATATCATCTTCTAAAAATTGTACACTTAATTAATATTTCAGCTTGGAATCTATTTTGAGTAAATTTTTGTGAAAGATGTAAGATGTGTGTCTAGACTCATAGTTTTCCATGTGGGTATCCAGTTGTACCAGTAACATTTATTGAAAAGACTCCTTTCTCATTTGCCTTTGCTCCTTCATTAAAGTTCAGATGACTATACTTGTGTGAGTCTGATAGTAGGCTCTCTATTTGGTTCCACTGATCTATTCGTTGATTCTTTCACCAAAACGACACTGTCTTTATCACTGTAGCTTTCTAGGAAGTCCTGATGTTGAATAGTGTTAGACATCTTTGTTCATCTTTAGTGTTGCGTTGCCTACTCTGGGTCTTTTTCCATATAAACTTTAGGGTAAATTTGTCAATATCTACAAAATATACTGCTGGGATTCTGATTGGGCTTGTGCTAAATCTATATATCTTGTTGGAAAGAACTGGTATATTAATATTGAATCTTCCTATCTATAATCACAAAATATCTCTCCATTTACTTAAATCTTCTTTGATTTCTTTCATCCAAATTTTGTAGTTTTCTTCAAATTTATCTTATACATATTTTGTTAATTTATATATAAATATTTCATATTAATTTTGGTGCTAGTGTAAATGCTGTTTTTAATTTTAAATTCCAATTGTTCACTGTTGATACAGAAAAAGTAATTGACTTTTCCTTATATCCTACAACCTTGATATAATTGCTTTTTTTGTTTGTTTTTTGGTCAGTGCTTTCGGATTTTCTACATAGTTAATCACATCACCAGCAAAAAAAAAAAAGACAGATTTATTTCTTGCTCTGAAATCTGTACACCCTTAATTTTCTTTTCTTATCTTACTGCATTAGCTAGAACTTCTCATATGATGTTAAATAGGAGGGGGAGAAATAATATTCTCATTTTCCTTCCAAACTTAGGAGGAAAGCATCTGGTTTCCTACCACTAAGTATGATACTAGGAACTCTGGTAGCATAGTGCCTAAGGCACTTGACTGCTAACAAGAAGGCTGGCGGTTCAAACCCACCAGCCATTCCTCGGAAGGAAGGTTGGGCGATCTACTTCCATAGTGATACTGCCTCGGCAACCCAAGGAGGGGTCACTATGAGTCGGGTCCAACTCGATGGTACATAACAACAATAAGAAGTATGTCGTTAGCTTTAGGTTTTTTTTGTAGACATTCTTTATTAAACTGAGGAAGTTCTTTCTATTCATAGTTTGCTGAGCGCTTTTATGATAAATTTGTGTTGCATTTGTCAAGAGCTTTTTCCTGCTCTACTGACTACATGAAACATTCTTTTTTTCTTCTTTAGCTTGTTGATGTGACAAATTACATTGATTTCTGAATGCTGAACAAGCCTTGCATATCTAGTTTACAACCTTGGAAAAGGTATATAATTTTTATACATGTTGAAATTTATTTAATATTTTGTTGAATATTTTCATATCTATATTCATGAGGGATATGAGTATGCAATTTTCCTTCAGACTAACTTTTTATTTTACTTTGTATTGTGCTTTGGGTGCAATTTTACAAAGTAGATTCGTTTTATACTCTACAGTACATAATACATATTTTGTTTCACAGCACCGATTATGATCCCCACAACAGAACAACTTTCTTCACATTTCTTCCCTGTGGTTACACCTTCCTTGTGTTCTTCTTACCTATGGATCTGTATCTGTCTACCCTTCCCCTAAGGCAAATACTGTTCTTCTGATCTCTCACAGTGGACTATTCCTAAGGAGTGCATCTCCCTAGTGTACTTGTACGACTCGTAGGCCTGTCTATTGTTTGCTTGAGAGCTAACCCACGGGAGCGAGTCCAATTCTAGGCACACAGGGTAACCCAGGGACTGTAGTCTCTATCTGACCAGTAATTCTTGTCTTTTTTTGTTTTTGAATTTCATTCCACACTTTTTTCTCCCATTCCTTCTAGGATCTCCAGTGTTGATACCTTTCCAAGTGGGTGGCATTAGAAGCTGGTCATCAACTAGTTCTTCTGGTTGCAGGGTTGTGTAGACTAAGGTTCCCATGGTTCCTTAGTTCCTTGGACTAATTGTCTCTATATGTCTTTGACTTTCTTTGCCCCTCTTTGCTCCAGACGAGGTGAAACGAATGCATCTTAGATGGCTTTTTGTAAGTTTTCAAGACTCCAGTCCCTACTCACGAAAGTAGGATGTAGAACAATGATTGTGTGTACTCTGTTGTGCCAACTGAGCTTGATGTCCCCAGTGACCATGGTCTCGTGCCACACTCCTCATATATCACTCCCTCAAGGTGTTGATTGTGGCTAAGAAGTTATCCTAGTTGTCCCGTTAGCTCTATAATGTATATGTATACTTTTATAGCATGTACAAGTATGCATGTAGGAATATCATCTGCCAAACATATGTACAATCATGGTTATATTCCCATTCCCCTATCCATAACTGATCTTCTTGGCTGTCTGCCTATGTATCCACCCAGAGATTAGTGTTTGTCATTACTGATAATGTAGTATTGTGCATATATTTGTCTCTGTTGTCTGTAACTTTTGCGTACCTCTTTGGATCCTCATTTTCCCTACTGTTATTGTGCTGGTCACACACTTTTTTTATATTACCTTTCCCGTCACCCAAATCAACATGTCTCTTAACTAGTCAGCAATTTTCCTTTCCCTTCCCTCTCCTCCAACAAAGAAAATTTCCTTTCCTATGTAAACCTTTCCTTGACTTGTGTAATAATGGACTCATAGAGTATTTATCCTTCTGCAATTGATTTACTTCACTCAGCATAATGTCCTCTAATTTCATTCATGTTGTGAAGTGGTTCAAGGATTCATTATTCTTTAATGTTGCATAGTATGTGGGTTATGTACCATAGTTTCGTTATCCATTCATTTATTTATTGATGGGTACTTAGATTATTTCCATCTCTTTGTTACTGTAAATAGTGCTGTGATAAACACGGGTATGCTTATATCTATTCATGTCTCAGATCTTACCTCTTTAGGATATGTTCCTAGTAGGGGATTAGTGGATCACATGGTATTTCTATTTCCAACTTTTTAAGACAGAACAATACCTTTTACCAAAGTGGCTGGAC